TTTGAGAAAAATCTATGGAAAAAACATTGATTTGGTAGTTTAAGCTCTTAGGAGTTAAGTTTAATGATTTAGTGTAGAATTTGGGATTTATTGTGAATTTTCTATGATTTTAGAAATTGCACCAAGGATGAAGAGGAGCAAAGGAAAGGCTTAATTTGATTCAAACAAATTTCTTAGTTTGATAGCTCGAGATCGATACAGTGATGCACTATAGTCAAGAAAATTGATCCTTGAGCGATGTTTCAAGAGTCCTGATGGAGCAGTAGAGGATGTGACTGTTTATCGAGGGTGGGAGTTTTTTTTTTTTTTTTTTTTTTTTTTTTTTGATGTGATTTTTATCTTTGCTGTTCAGGAGTTCAATAAAAATCTCCTAGAGGTTGAAGAAGAAGGAGTCATGTTTAGAGGGAAACAAAAACCTTTCTCACCAGAGTTAATAAATATGTTCTATCAATTGCCCCCTAGCACATCGTGCTTTTATTCAAAATATCATATAACAAAAAGCATTTAGACGAGATTATTTCATCGTTGATTGGTGCATGGTGACTATGGAAAATTATTAATGAAAGAAAAGTCAATTTCCTAATTTTGAAGTTGGATGCCACAGCGAAGGCGCGATACTACTTTATTTCTGATCGCCTGCAGCCTACGAACCACTCAATGAAGTGACCCAAGTCAGAAAAACATGAACTATTGTATTCAGTAGTTCAAGCCCATCGACATTGGAGATCTGATTTATGATGTTATCGCCAGTTCTGTTGTCGCTGCTACTTTTTCAGGTTTGGGATTTACATCCTTAGTCTTTTCATTCTCTGAGCAGGCTGGAGTTGTATTTGATAGTTGGGAGGAGATATTACAGCCACTCAAACCCATTACTAGTTTCAATGTGAAATCATATTCACATCATTCAATTTTTGGCTGGAGAGGTGGATTTTTGAGCAATTCAGGTGCCTCTACATCTCAAGCTTCTACTTCACATGCTTCGGCATCACCAAGTCAAACTTCAAGATCTAATTCTCAGTCACAATTATTGTGGAGGATATTGGGCAACATTAACTATACCGCTGATAAGGTATTAAACTTAGAAAATTTTAGAGAACATATAGATGAAAATATGAGGAGACATAGTGATTATGAGGAAATATTCCACTCATTTATGAAAAACCTCATGAGAGGTGATCGGAGTGTAGTTTTCCCTCAATATCCAAAATATCCATCATATGAGCCTTCAGCTGTTTGGCATAGTGATGAGAGTAATGATGAGAAGGAGGAGAATGATTAGACTGAGTCTGTCGTTTAATTTTTTCTTATGTATTCTTGTGAACTTTTTGTGGTACAATTATAGTGTACTGTTGTTTTATTTTGAGTTGTATATATTGAGATTGTTAGTTTTGTTTGTATTTTGTTTTGTTTGATACTACTATGATGTATTTATGTTCTTATGAGTAGTTATTTAGTTTTTGTTGTAGTAATTGTGTTAACTGTGTTGTTTAATGTATTAAGTTAGATTGTGTTGAACTTAATCCTGAATTTTAGGAAGGTTTAGAAAATTGTTAATTTTCACTTAAACACTTCATGTTTAAATTCTTCAAATTGCTACCAGAATTTTTTTTTATGATGCAGTTGTGAATGTTTGTTAGTGTGTTTGTTTTCTTTTATGTTTTCCTCAACTACATAGAAGTCTAATGAATCTCTATATGTTAAGTAAATTAAAATTTGATCAATTTAATTTTTTACTCATGTTTTTAATTTTTGAATTGGTATATTTAGGATGTAAAAACCTTCAAGCATGTTTTTTTTTAGTATTTATTCCTGCTTATATATATATATAT